ACAAGGGGGTCTGATGTATCATAAGGTCTTGACACTATCTCAAACCATGTAATATCAGGGATCACTTGGCTATCTTTTAGAGTTCTCTCTACAAACCCTTAAAGGAGATTTACAAGCAAATTAGACACTCAATTAACATCTTCATGCTCCAACTTAAGGGGGAGTAAAGAGAATCAAACCATAATATGATTAATCCTAATATAAGGAAGAAAGAAGAGGATGTGATTATAGAAGGAAGGATATCATGCTACTATGAAAAGATTGATCAAATCATGGGAAATCAATTTATCAATTGATTAATTTCAAGAATTTGATATTAATTGTAATCTCATTAATAGGAAGATTTCCAATTAATTGTTATTTTCTTATATTATGTATCTCTCACCCTATAAATAGAGTTGTTCATGTGTAAGAAAAGAATGAAGAAAAATAAACGTCAAAGCCCATAGAGGCTTTTGTACAGTGGACTAAGGGGACCTTGATGCATCATGATGGCCAGACACTATCCCAAATCATGTAATATTGTGTCTTTCTCCCTCTCTCGCTTATCTTTTATTTTGTTTATATTATTACTATATTATCATGAGATTTCTATTATTAGAGATTTCCTCACCATGTTATTTTTTGGATAAAATGTAAAAATATTATTTATCCAATAAAACCATTCTGTACACTTAAGCAACAACTACTGCTACAATCAATGTATAACTGTAGTTTTCAAGAAAATCCTACTACTAAGACTGTATTGGTTGTTGTATAATGCCTTCTAGCTCCCATTTCTTTGTTACAGACATAGGCAGTGATGAAGAGTTTGGCTTTGCAAAGCCCCAAACCTTATTTCTAACATCAAATTGAATATCCTGTACAGCCTACAAAATAGATTTGAAATGCTGCCTATGAACTCTATTATTTCTCTCCCTCTAGACATAATAAACTATAGCATTCCAGGGTAGTTTAACAAGGATACAATACAAGGATTTCCTCCTAATCCTCTTCCCCATCCAAGCCAATAAACCTTGCCAAGAACAGAATAAGGGAATTTCTATTATAGCATAAATATCCAACCATATTTGCCTGGTAAAATGACACTGAAAAAATAAATGAGTGCTTGTTTCTACTGCTGTTTGATAGAACAGGCAAGTGCCATCAATACTGGGAGTCAATTTCTTCTGCCTATTTCTTGTTGACAGTTTATCCAAGAGTGCTAGCCAACAAATGAAACTATGCTTAAGGATTGCATAAGGAAACCATACTAATCTGTGCCATGGAACCTTTTCCTGCTTTGCTCATAGCGAATGCCATGCATTACTTGTCTTAAACACTCCTGAGGTAAAGGTAGTCCAAATAATTGAGACCTTCTCCTCATTCTTGGGATATAGAGTGTCAAAAAGGGCCATCTGAATCTGTACAAGTTGTGGGGAACGAGTAGGAGGCCAGTTCCAGAAATTTCCATTAACCACTTCAGAAACTTTGGCAAATAAGTGTAGACCCGAGTCAAGAACAATTTTAGTTCCATACACTGTAATTAATGGCCTTGTAGGATGCTAGTAGTCATGCTATAAAAAAATATTAGTGCCATTACCAGGTACATGTTGTATTAAACCCTTAGCATAACATTGGAGTCTGAGAATTTTCCTCCATCCCCAAGATGAGTTAGAAGGAATGTTGATGTACCAGAAACTCTTCCATTTTAGCAAGTACTCCTTGACCTAAGCAACCCAAATGGAATCTGCCTTTGTGAAAATCATCCAAATGAATCTAGTACACATGCCTTATTCCAATTAGCAAGGCTATTTAATCCCAACCCACCTTCTTGTTTAGGGAAGCACACAGATTGCCAACTAACTTTAGCTCCCTTTGCACTTGTTGTTGAGCCATTCCATAAAAAAGCACTATAAAACCTTTCCACCTACTTGATTGCTTTCTTAGGCAAGATAAAAGTGGAACACCAGAATGTTGTAATACCTTGAATAACGGATGAAATTAGTTGTAATCGACCAGCAAAAGATAAGTGTTTTGATGTCCAAGAGTTCATTCTCTCAGTGATCTTGGATACCAATGGCTTAAGATCCTTCTTCATTAGCCTTCCCATGATTAAAGGTACTCCTAGGTACCTGACAGGGAGTGTACCAATTTTCAAGCCATAGGTTGAGGCAAGATGCTGCACCCTACTTTGAGGAACACCACAACAAAAAGTTTTGACTTTGCGTAATTCACCTTTAAGCTAGAAACAGTATAAAAGCCCTTCAAAATATCATCGACAGTAGCAAGAGAGGATATCTTCCCATCTGTAAAAATGATAAGATCATCAACAAAACAAAGATGAGTAAGATTAACCTTTGCACACTTAGGATGGTAGCCCAACTGCCCATCTAAAGCAGCCTTGTTAAGCATTTTAAAGAAGACTTCTATGCAGATTACAAAGATATATGGTGATAAGGGATCCCCTTGTCTGATGCTTTCTTTCTAGGGAAATATCCCATAAGATTACCATTAAAAGCTATAGGGAATCTTGGCGTAGTAATACATGTAGCCAACCAATTTATAAATTGAAAAGGGAATCTAAGAGTAAACAATACTTGGAAGATGAAATTCTAATTGACAGAATCAAAAGCTTTCATCAAATCAATTTTCAAAGCACATCGTGAGCTAAGATTCTGCCTGTGATAATGCTTTACCATCTCATGTTCGAGTAAGACATTCTCCACCATCAATCGACCTTCTACAAAGGCACATTGATTATGGCTGATGAATAGGGGTAGGCACTTTTTTAGTCTCTCAGCCATAATCTTCATAATGAATTTGTAGATTAGGTTACAGTAGGAAATTGGCCTAAATTCAAACATTCCAGTTGAGTTCGAGATTTTTGGCACTAACATTATTAGTATAGAATTCATCTCCTTTAATATTTTCCTTGTAGTGAAGAATTCTTGTACTACTTTTATTACCAAATCACCCACAACTGTCCAGGATGCCTTATAGAACTCTACTAAGTAGCCACTAGGACCAAGGGCTTTGTTTTCAAGGCTATTGAATATCACAACTTTGATTTTAGCTTCGGTTACTGGCTGTGTGAGGAAGTGACTAATGTTCTTAGGTAATTGGAAATGCAACAAGTCTGTGAGCCATTGATTATCTACTCTTTTACAATTTGCATCCTTAATGCCCAACAGGGTTTGATAAAATTGTACAACTTCAACCTCCATTTCAAGTAAGTCTATAAGTTTTCTCCCATCCACAATATACAACTTAGTGATTGTATTCTTCATCTTCTTGATTTTCATCACTTTATGGAAAAATGTAATGTTACCATCACTCTCTAGCAACCATTTAACCCTTGACTTTTATCTAAAAAAAGACTCTTCGGCTAACTATAGTGCTGCCACTTTCCCAGCTTGGTCACATTCAAGTTGTACTAAATTTTCATTTGGGCAAGCTAAGAGATCAAGTTGTAGCATATGTAACTTGTCTCTTTCCTATTGTAGTCTATTTTGTATATCCCCATAATGCTCATTATTCATCTTCCTCAAAACTGGCTTTAAAACTTTGAGTTTCTTATAGAGTTGATACATGTAACAACCCTTTATAGATGTAGAATCCCAAACTTGCTTCACTGTGGACGAGAAAGCCTCATTATTTGCCTAAAGACTGAAAAACTTGAATGGCTTTCGTTTGTTATTCTCAATAGGCAAAGTAATTTCAACTAAACAAGCACAGTGGTCTGAACATCCTGGAGGTAGAAAAGAGGCTTTGGTAGATGGGTATCCATCTATCCAAAATTCATCCACCATTAGTTTATCTAGCTTCTTAGAGATTGTATTATTTGACCAAGTGAAATGTGAACCACTTGAAGAAAGATCAAGCAACTCAGCTTCATTTAGCAGATTCTAGAAAACTTCAAAGCTTTTGGCAAGAATTTGTCAGTCTGATCTCTCATTTGGTGAACGGCTCTCATTGAAATCTCCACCCACAAGCCAAGGAACCTAAGGAAGAGCCTTACTAATATAAACTAATTCATTCCATAATTGTTGCCTTATAGCTTCATGGTACGGGTCTGCATAAATGGCACTGAGGAAAAAATATTTACCAATGGTAATGTCATAAGCTTGGCAATGAATAGCTTGAAAACTGGAACTAGAAATAGTAATATGAATATGAGGCTTGTGGAACAACCAGATTCTTCCCAGTCTTGCATGCTCATAGTTGTCATGTACTAGCCAACCATGTAATAGAAAGCTAGATATTGCCAAGAACTTTTCCTATTGAACACGAGTTTCAAATAGGCAAATAACATCAGCATTGTATAGCATGAAATGCCTTTTCAACTCTTTTTGTTTACTGGGCATGTTGATGCCTCTAACATTCCAGAAAAGTACTTTCATTTTGATGGAGGAGGAGCCTCACTGGGGGAGTTAAAACTTTTCTTTGATCATTTTGACCTTGGTAACAAAGCTAGATACATAGTTCGTTGAGAAACTTGCCATGGAATCTTAGACCTAAGGACCCATTCTTTAGTTGCAGGATCCAAAAATTGAAACAAAAAGGTGTTATTTCCTACCCCAGTGACAATATCTTTCCCTTCTTTTCCGAAAGTTTGTTTACGTAATGAACTATGGCACCATAATTGGAAGAAGAGCCACCTAAAAATGTACCCACTAAACAATTGTCCCAAGATTTCAAGCCTTTAGCATGAACAGTATCAAGAATAACCAATCTACCATTACGAAACTCAAGTGGGTGGAAAGACAGATTACCTTTACCAGAATCATTTGCAACAACATCGGCCCAAGAAGATTTTGTTGGAAAGCTCATTGAAGCAGAAGAGGAGGCAATTGGTGTTGTAGGAACATAAACCTGTGGGTTTGCGATCTGAATAGAGGAAGTACCAGTTATCGACTTGATTTCATCAAGAAGTTTCTTGTTCAGAATGGCCACTGAGTGTGGTGAAGGACTGCTAGACAAGTTACCGGCAAGTGAATTAGAGCTCACCACCGGTTGAGGACTGGGAAGAACAAGTGAATTCCAATGGGAACCTGCCATGGTATCGACGATGGGAGGCAGTTTCTTTTCTCACTCTAGACAATTATAACCCTAGAGAGAGAAAGTACCAAAAAATCAGAAAGTTAGATTTATTTGGTCGTATCTGAGTCTTCCTCACCATGTTAGAAACTTCCTTTATGGTATCAAGTGAGTTAGTTTAGGACTACATTTAGCTTTTCAAATGAAAGTTAAGTAAGGTTTCATTTCTATCTTTTTGTTTATATTATTACTTTGCAATCCTTCTTTATGGTATTAAGGAAACCTGTTGGCCATCTTCTAGAGTTCTCTCTACAAGCCTTTAAAGGTGATTTACAAGCAACAAACACTCAATTAACATCTCCATGCTCCTACTTGAGGGAAGTAAAGAGGATCAAATCATAATATGATTGATCCTAGTACAAGGAAGAAAGAATATGATCCAATTATAGAAGGAAGGAATATCATGCCATTATGAAAATTGATTAAATCAGGACAAATCAATTTATTAATTGATTGATTTCAAGGATTTGATATTGAATTGTAATCTCATTAATAGAAATATTTCTAATTAATTATTATTTCTTTATATTACGTATCTCTCACCCTATAAATAGGGAAAAGAATAAAGAGAAATAAATATGTAAAGCCCAACTTTTGTATCGTGAACTATGGAGATCTTGATGTATCATAATATCATGACATTATCGCAAACCACATAATATTGTGTCTTTCTCTCTTTCTCATATATCTTTTATTTTGTTCATGTTATTATTATTTTATCATGAGATTTCTACTATTAAAGATTTCCTCACCATATGAGAAACTTCTTCAAACCTAAACTTGGCCATAGTAGTAAATAAGGGACTGCCACTTGTTGTAAAGATTGTTGCTTTCATTGAACCTAGCCTAACAAGTGGACTGCTGCACGGTTTAAAGCACGTGAAAAGGGAGTTTTTCTACTTGATATCTCTATTATGGTGCCTATATGGATTGCTTCTATAATTTTATAGGTGACTTCTTGTTTTCGATTGTCTACATCTATTTACGAGTAGTATCACATGTTATATGCTGTAGGTATAACTTTTTCGATGCTTAGTTTGGGCTTATTTAGAGATTATAATCTCTATATTTTCACTAATAAAATTCATATTTCCTCTAAATAAAAGTTATTGAGTGAGTATATATATTGGCTTAGCAAGTATTTATTCTTCCTCTTTTCTTCTCTTTTTGATCTTCGTTGATCTAGGTCTTTAAATTTACTTCCAGCTAAAAAGAAAAAAGTCTTTAAATGTGTCAAGTTTGGTAGAACTTGAACTTGAGCTTAATGATGCTTAACGTGTCAAAGTTGAGTTTTAGTTTTCATTTAATTCAAATAACTTGAGCTCAACAGTTTTTAGGAGACTCAAACTTGACTGGCAACTTTGATCAAGTATGTGAACTGAATTTAAAATTTAAATTAAGTTAAAAATAAATTTTTAAAATTTTAAGACAATTATTTTTAATACAATCAAATCAACTTTAAACTACAACTCGAATTTAGTTTGACTCAATTTTTTAAATACAATTTTATGCTTAAACTCAAGTTCAATTCTTACTTGAGTTTGAGTTAATTCAAATTTTAACCCAAATTTAAATAGGATAATTTTTAAAAAACTCAACTCATTTATTGTGGCAGCAATACCATACTAACCGTTTTGATGGGTCTCTAATTTTCCTTTTTCAATTTTGTTTTTGCTTTTTTTGGGTTTGTGTAGTCCATAAGCTTATATTAAATATATAATAAATATATTTTTTATAATTAATATATATAAATATTAAAAATTACACTTGCGACCTTAGTCACGATGGAAGTGTATCAACGTCCTTGACGTCTTTGTTAAGGGTTCAAGCTGCCAGTGCAGCAATCTTGTAATTATTTCCTCATTCTTTAAATTTCTTACTGGTAAAAAAAATATATATTAAAATTTAATTTTAATTTTAATATTATTATGTAAATAATTTTAATTAATTAAATAATTAAATTTAAGTTAATTTTTATTAATTTTTATATAAATTAATTAAAAATATATATTTATTATATTTTTAACTTATACTTTAAAATATAAAATAAAAAAACTAAAAGTTTTTTTAAGCATATATAGTTTTTAGAATTTTGACAACAATACTAAAGTACTGCATTGGTAAAAAAAAAGGACTACATTGGTTTTCACTTTTCAGGACGGGTCAAATCTTGTCCTGCCAATTTGCCATGGGGACGAAGTGAAAGACATTGATGCAGAGCCCATTATTGAAGAAAGAGCAGTGCTACGCGCAATCGCTCTGGCACTCTCTTCTTGTGATAACTCACCAACATAATATGCCACGTTGTTCACGGTTTTAATAGTTTATCGAAAACCGGTTTCCCTTGTTGACTTAAAAGAGGTCCACCCACAGCCTTCTTCAGATTCCCCACTGTCTCGGACTTCCCACTTTTCTCTCTCCTCTTACTGCACGAATCACCCTTATCAGAACCAGAACACGGGAGTTGCATTGGAATTCACCCCAAATTCATCAAAATGATTTTTGATATAACTTCAATATTTAATTATTCCTGACCGATAGTTTTTTAATGAAAACTTAAAAAACATTAAAATAT